AGCACTGTCAGCAGTCTGCTCTCTCCTCTATGTCCTCAACATGCCCTCTGTACACTGCCTCGCAGTGCCACGCAGCTGGGTTTAGCCCTGGCTATTTCATCTACAACTCAAGACCTTCCTCTCACCGACTATTCTTCATCTGTCCACACTTCCCCATTCACCCACCGGAGCCCCAGCAGAAGAGCCTGCTATGTGTGTTCTCTATGTCTGTCCCACGATCGACTTAGCTGCTGGGTTAAGCCCTGGCTCTATTTCTACATCTAAGAACACTCCTCTCCAGCGCTATTCTTCGTCTGTCCCGTCTTCCCCGCTCATCCCATTTGGGATCTTACCTGAACTTTCGTTCGTTCGTTCGTGCTCTCTCCTTTGGAATTTGCAACTGCAGTGTGTGACCCATTACCTGTCGAGCTCAGAACAGCTGACATCCGCACTTACATCCCCATCACACAATCTGTCACTGTCCTTGGCGTTAATCTTGACTACCTTCTTCGTTTACATGGACACAGTCACTCAAGGCATGCAATAGCTAGTAAGGCCCTTGCGGGCCTCTACAAGCTGAAACAGGCCTCTCAACGCACCAAACTACACCTCTACAAATCCCTAATACGTCCTCTGATAACTTACTCTCCTCTAGCCCCTCTCTCTTGCAGCAAAAACAAACTTACTTAAACTGCAGCAGGTCCAGAACAAGGCGCTGCACTGGGTGCTTGATGTCAGATGGGAGGACTTCGCCACAACCGAGTCTCTCCATACCCAATTAGACATCCCTGCTCTGAATTTGTACTGGAAGACGCTCAGTGACAGACAGATAGACAAACTTGAGACACGACATGACTACTGGACCTCTCTCCTTGACGAAGACATTCGCAGACCCACAAACCAACACAACCTTTTCTACTCCTTGCATGATCCTGCTCCTAACCCTATTTACAAATAACCTTGGATTTGCTGACAGGTACCTTCTATGACAGGTACCATTCTCTGACCCACATTCGCCTTAGCTTTTGGGTTAAGACATGGCCCAGTTCTACACTCCTCTCTAGCGCTAAACGTCGCATGTCCCTTCCTTCCCGCTCACCCCACCGGAGTCCCAACAGAAGAGGCTGAATTTCTCTTCTCAGTATCTGTCCCACGATCGCCTTCGCTGCTGGGTTAAGCCCTGGCTCTATTTCTACGACTAAGAACACTCCTCTCCAGCACTATTCTTCGTCTCGTCTTCCCCGCTCATCCCATTTGGGATCTTACCTGAACTTTCGTTCGTTCGTTCGTAGCTCTCTCCTTCAACACTACATCTCACCTGGCTCTATTACAGGCTCTGATCACATCCCAATCATCTTACACATCTTCTCCAACCCTATCCTCATCCCAGCCACATCTTCCTTCTACAAGAACACTGACTGGGATGTGTTATGCAGGGTTGTGCATGACATTGTAATGTACATATAGTGAAGGGTGTCATAATAGTATGAATGTTATAACTGTAAAGCATAATTTTATAATTCATAATGTGCTTTTGGGGGTACTGTAAAGTAGGCTAAACTATAATTATAAAGAAATCCTGCTAGGGATTTATTTTCCAACTGTGTTTGGGTACGCGGGGTAAGCGTGGCTTGGGGCAGTCACGTGGAGTCAGCATGGTGTGGAGGCTGGCGTCGGAGATGCTGTGTATTTAAGCTAAGTTTGTAGTTGTGTACTCCTTTTGTTTAGCTAACCCAAGCCATAGGCTCTTCTATGGCTTACCTGTATGCCCACCTGGGCTCTGACATGGTCAGGGTGCGGTGGGATGAGTGAAGAAATGGGGTTGATATTGGAGTAGAGTCGGCCTGGTGCTGACTAGGGCGAGTGTTATGGTTACTGGACTGCCAACCAGCTGTTTCTTGTGTACCGTCATTTGGGCATTTAGGATGAAGGTGTTTCTAGAGTGCGTACATAGTGTTATGTTGAATAAATAGATATATTTTCCTAACTAGGATTTTTGCCTACCCCTCTGCTAACCAACCCATTGAAGTAACACTTACTGGTTTAGCACTTTCTGTTTTGACTGGGATAGCCCTGGGTGGCCTGTTTATGCTTGAGATGTGTGTAACTTTTACCTTTGCCCTTAGACAAGGCTCTAGCCCGCAGCTGTTCCACCTTTCTGCGTAACATGGGGGCCTGTCCGAGAGAATTATCAAATTTTATGTGGTAATTCAAATTTGCAACCTGGAAAGTCAATAACCATTCTTTACTGGGTTGGTCAGAGGAAGCATTCACTATAACACTCACACTAAAATAATAATTTACCTTTGTTTGCAATATTGCTGGTTTTTAGGTTGTTATTATTAACTAATACCCTGTGAATAATTTACCTTTGTGTGCAATATTGCTGGTTTTTAGGGTGTTATTATTAATTAATACACTGTGAATAATTTACCTTTCTGTGCCATCTTGTTGATTTTTAGGGTGTTATTAATACCTGATATTTTGTGAATAATTTACCCTTGCAGGTACAATCTTGCTGATTTTAGTGAGATTATGCTTACCTAATTTTCTGGGAATAATTTTCCTTTGCAGGTGCAGTAGCTCCATTTTTTTCTGCCAGGGTTTTCTTTTTGTGTGCAATCCTGTTTAATTTGAGGGAGTCACATGATAATTCCTTGTGAATATACTACTTTAGTATATGTGCTTTGCTGTGTGTTTTTTTATTTTATATCAGTAAGTTCTGTGGCTGATAGCAAGATTTGGTGCTATCATTTCCCAAAATGGCTGACACTAGTGAAAATTCTGGAGATGACATGCATTTGGAAGGTGACATTGAATTAAATTCCCATGTTAGGGACCTGGATAAAGAAGTAGAATTTTTACGAATGAAATTAGCCCTAGTTGCTGAAGAAAAGGAATGGTTAAGGATTGAACGTACAAAGATCCAGGAACAGAGAGCCTTAGAGGAGCTTAGGGCTCAAGAAAGAGCTAAAGAGAGGCAGCTTGCTTCTCACCCAGCCACGGACATGAGGGTAGTTTTTTTTTTATTTCGATAAAGCCATAAAATTTGTGCCCAAATTCCCAGAGAAAGACCCAGACCAGTTTTTTCTGTTAGTTGAAAGTACGGCCGGAAAAGGAATGGGCCACATTAGCGAGAACCCAATTAGTTGGTAAAGGGTTACAGGCTGTTAGTTCTTTAGAGGGATCGGCCTTTTCTGATTATCATAAGCTAAAAGAGGTAGTTTATTGTCTTATCAAATGTTGCTGGAAAGGTATCGGCAGAAGTTTAGAGGACTAAAGTTACAAGCAGGGCAGTCTTTGGTGGAATATGGTAAGGAGAAGATGTCACTTCTAAATAGGTGGTGTCGCTCAAAGGGGGTGGTAGGCAATTATGAAGGCGTAATTACCTTAATTTTGTTAGAGGATCTTTTGAGAAAAGTTCCTCCTGACCTTAAGGATTGGTGGTGGTGGTTGTAGTGGTGGTGGGTGGTTGTAGTGGTGGTGGTGGTGGTGGTAGGAGTGGTGGTGGTGGTGGTGGTGATGGTAGTGGTGGTGGTTTTTGGTGGAGGTGGTGGTGGTTGTAGTGGAGGTGGTGGTTGTAGTGGTGGTGATAGTAGGGTGGTAGTGGTGGTTGTGGTGGTGGTGGTGGTTGTAGTGGTGGTGGTGGTAGTGGTGGCGGTTGTAGTGGTGGTGGTGGTGGTGGTGGTTGTAGTGGTGGTGGTGGTGGTGGGGGTTGTAGTGGTGGTGGTGGTGGTTGTATTGGTGGTGGTGGTTGTAGTGGAGGTGGTGGTGGTTGTAGTGGTGGTGGTGGTGGTTGTAGTGGTGGTGGTTGTAGTGGTGGTGGTGGTAGTGGTGGTGGTGGTGGTTGTAGTGGTGGTGGTGGTGGTGATGGTGGTGGTGGTGGTTGTAGTGGTGGTGGTGGTAGTTGTAGTGGTGGGGGTGGTGGTGTAGAGGAGTGTGAGGGGGTGTAGTTGAGTGGGAGGTGGCGTAGTGGAATGGGAGGTGGTGTAGTGGAGTGGGAGTGTAGTAGAGTAGTAGGTGGTGTGGTGGAAAGGTAGGTGGTGTAGTGGAGTGGGAGGTGGTGTAGTGGAGTGGGGGGTGGTGTATGGAGTAGGGGTGGTGTAGTGGAGTGGGAGTGTAGTAGAGTAGTAGGTGGTGTGGTGAAAGGTAGGTGGTGTAGTGGGGTGGGAGGTGGTGTAGTGGAGTGGGTAGGTGGTGTAGTGGAGTGGTAGGTGATGTAGTGGAGTGGGAGGTGGTGGAGTGGAGCGGGAGGTGGTGTAGTGAAAGTCTTCAAGATGGTTGGTGGTGATGGTGGTGGTGGTTGTAGTGGGTGGTTGTAATGGTGGTGGTGGTGGTTGTAGTGGTGGTGGTGGGATGGTGGTGGTGTGGTGGTGGTTGTAGTGGTGGTGGTGGTTGTGGTGGTGGTAGTGGTTGTAGTGGTGGTGGTGGTGATGTTGGTGGTGGAGGTTGTAGTGGTGGTGGTTGTAGTGGCGGTGGTGGCGGTTGTAGTGGTGGTGGTGGTGGGGTGGTGGTGGTTGTAGTGGTGGTGGTTCTAGTGGTGGTGATATTGGTGGTGGTGTTGTAGTGTGGTTGTAGTGTGGCGGTGGTGGTGTTTGTTGTTAGTGGTGGTGGTGGTGTTGGTTGTAGTGGTGGTGGTGGTGGTTGTAGTGGTGATGGTGGTGGTAGTGTGTTGTGGTGTGGTGGTAGTGGTGGTCGTGGTGGTGTTGGTTGTAGTGGTGGTGGTGTTGTTGGTTGTAGTGGTGGTGGTGGTGGTTGTAGTGGAGGTGGTGGTGGTGATAGTGGTGTTGGTAGTAGTGTGGTGGTGGTTGTAGTGGTGGTGGTGGTGGTGGTGGTGGTGTGGTTGTAGTGCTGTGGTGGTGGTGGTGTTTGTAGTGGTGGTGGTGTAGTGGTGTTGGTGTGGTGGAGTGGGGTCGTGGTGGTGTTGGTTGTAGTGGTGGTGGTGTTGTTGGTTGTAGTGGTGGTGGTGGTGGTTGTAGTGGAGGTGGTGGTGGTGATAGTGGTGTTGGTATATGTGTGGTGGTGGTGGTTGTAGTGGTGGTGGTGGTGGTGGTGGTTGTAGTGCTGGTGGTGGTGTTTGTAGTGGTGGTGGTGGTAGTGGTGGTGGTGGTGGTGGTTGTAGGGGTGGTGGTGGTTGTTGTGGTGGTTGTAGTGGTGGTGGTGGTAGTGGCGGTGGTGGTGGTGGTGTTGTAGTGGTGGTGGTTGTAGTGGTGGTGGTGGTTGTAGTGCTGGTGGTGGTGGTGGTGTTTGTAGTGGTAGTGGTGGTGGTGGTGGTGATGATGATGGCGGTGGTGGTGGTTGTAGGGGTGGTGGTGGTTGTTGTGGTGGTGGTGGTAGTGGTGGTTGTAGTGGTGGTGGTGGTGGTTGTAGTGGTGATGGTGGTAGTGGTGGTGGTGATGGTGATGGTGGTGGTGGTTGTAGTGGTGGTGGTGGTGGTTGTAGTGGTGGTGGTGGTTGGTTGTAGTGGTGGTGGTGGTGATAGTGGTGTTGGTAGTAGTGTGGTGGTGGTGGTTGTAGTGTGGTGGTGTGGTGTTGGTGGTGGTGTTGTAGTGGTGGTGGTGGTGGTGGTGGTGATGGTGGTGTTGGTTGTAGTGGTGGTGGTGGTGGTGGTGGTGGTTGTAGTGGTGGTGGTAGTGGTGGTTGTATTGGTGATGGTGGTGGTGGTTGTAGTGGTGGTGGTGGTTGTAGTGGTGGTGGTGGTGGTGGTTGTAGTGGTGGTGGTTGTGATGGTTGTAGTGGTGGTGGTGGTGGTTGTAGTGGTGTAGACAGTCTATGCTGTCTGCCAGCTTTGTTCATATTTCGCGGCACTCAGGTGCTGCCCTCTCTAGGCCTGCCCAGGTCAGTGGGACACTGGTCCCACTTGCTCTCACTCTGGCGGCACATTTCACTCAGACGAGAAGTGTCCACTCCTCTCTCCCTCGCTGGCACAAACACACAAGCCTGTGTACTCACCACGACTTTGCAAATAAAGTAAGAAGCCTCCGAAGACTTATCATTTATTCCCCGCTACCAGAAACACCAAATAATCTCATAAACATTAGTGGAAGCGGCAGTCACAGCAAATGTGTTTGCCCGGAGAGAGGAAGGAAGAGGGATGAAGTCATTTTCACTTCGTCACCCTACACAAGAAACATCCGTCTCTCAACGAGTTATCCTGATGTCGTGTCTGCACGTTTCAACATCCAGACACAGGTACAAGCAGGATCCAGGCCGAAATTTGCCGAATTTCTTTGAGAATTGTAAGTGGCATCCCAATGACCCCACGTAACAGCGTCCCACGTTGTTTCTCAAGTCAAGTGTTCAGCATCACTTGTATGTTTTGCTGTTGTTGTTCAGCTCAGCAGAGCTATTTCAGCAAGGCAGGGGCGAGTTTTGTGGTGATTTCTGTGTCCAGTGTGTCTCCCTGTGTTGTGGGTGGGAGAGGAGGAAGCGGCTGGGTTCCTGCCTCACTCACACCTCACTCGCCTACCACCACATTCCACCACTATGTTCTCACTCCCTCTGCTGTGTTTTCTGCTGTTTTCTGTGTGAATTCATTGCCAGAGCTGTGTATTCGAATGCCCGAGGCCACTTGAAGCCACGTGGATCAACATGCCACGTAGATCACGATGCCACGTGGATCCCGATGCCACGTGGGGTGTAGATGAAGCCACATAGATCTACAAGCCACGTGAGTTACCGAGCCAGATGTCCTAGGCCACATGCTGTGGTCTGCTGCTGCCCGATTTCATGACGTCACAATGTCTGCCTGACGTCACCTCTAGATGTCTGCTGATGTCACAGTGCTGCTGACGTCACTTCGCGATGTCATGCCTGACATCACATGATGTCACATCGAGTGTTTCAGTAATTATGTCAGTATTGTCGAGTAGATTGAGAGAAGATATATGCCGTTTGTTAATTAATTCCTCTCAGTCAGTGTTCTCACATGTTAGTGTATAGCTTAGTGTCAATTTTGTGCACAGAAAAGCATCATTTGCTAGTTTAAGCCATGTACCGCATGTACCGCAGGTGTGTATAAAGTTTTCCGTGTGTCCAGTGTGGTCTTGAGCCAAGATCCCAGAGTAGCACCACTGTGGTCCTTGTCACCCGGTGTGACCAGCGCATTTGACAGCTGATATTAGTCAGCCCTGAAAATATGAGCCCCTTGTACAGAAAGCTCTTATGCTCGTCACTCATAGATGTTCTGCAGAATCGTACCTGCTATGATTCCCATTGAGATTTGTTTCCCTTCACCTCCAGACCTTCAGAGTCCAGTTATATGTAGAGTAACAAGTCTAGGGATGCTTAGACTAACCTCTGCTACAACTCCAACTGTCGAGAAAATGACACTCATCAAGCCACAGTTTAAGCCCTGTTGGCAGGCGCTGTGTCAGCCTCATGTCATAGCTTCAATGAGCTCCTGTACAAAGATGATGTCACTTTGACTGCTAGCTCGCTCACTGCAGTATGGTGTATGATGTTCGCCCTTCGATTTTTCGCCGGGTCTCTGCCCGAATCGCCCCCACGCTCCCCCGGCATGACACCCCAAACGTCCCAGTCAAAAGTCCTCCTGAGTGTTTGCCAGAAGAAATCCCCCCATTTGCCCAAGTGATGCGAGCCTCACTCGAGGGCACCAGCATGTCGGCCCCAGGTTGGTGTAACCCTTTGCAGTGATCCTCGATGACGCTTCACTGTTCCCGAGGAGAAAGTGCTCCGTTTTCGTACAGCTCAGCCGCAGGATGTCTCCTGGTTGAGAACTGTCCAGAGCAGGGAAGGCGTGCGTGATGCCCCTCGACGCTCACTGCCCTTTTACCACATTGTTCAGCACACCCACATTTTTTTTTCTTCCCTCCCTGTAGGAAGTTTTTTTTCCATGTCCATATGTATATATATATATATATTTTATATATATATATATATATATATATATATATATATATATATTATTTTTTTTTTATTATCACACTGGCCGATTCCCACCAAGGCAGGGTGGCCCGAAAAAGAAAAACTTTCACCATCATTCACTCCATCACTGTCTTGCCAGAAGGGTGCTTTACACTACAGTTTTTAAACTGCAACATTAACACCCCTCCTTCAGAGTGCAGGCACTGTACTTCCCATCTCCAGGACTCAAGTCCGGCCTGCCGGTTTCCCTGAATCCCTTCATAAATGTTAACTTTGCTCACACTCCAACAGCACGTCAAGTATTAAAAACCATTTGTCTCCATTCACTCCTATCAAACACGCTCACACATGCCTGCTGGAAGTCCAAGCCCCTCGCACACAAAACCTCCTTTACCCCCTCCCTCCAACCCTTCCTAGGCCGACCCTACCCCGCCTTCCTTCCACTACAGACTGATACACTCTTGAAGTCATTCTGTTTTCGCTCCATTCTCTCTACATGTCCGAACCACCTCAACAACCCTTCCTCAGCCCTCTGGACAACAGTTTTGGTAATCCCACACCTCCTCCTAACTTCCAAACTACGAATTCTCTGCATTATATTCACACCACACATTGCCCCAGACACGACATTCACTGCCTCCAGCCTTCTCCTCGCTGCAACATTCATCACCCACGCTTCACACCCATATAAGAGCGTTGGTAAAAACTATACTCTCATACATTCCCCTCTTTGCCTCCAAGGACAAAGTTCTTTGTCTCCACAGACTCCTAAGTGCACCACTCACTCTTTTTCCCTCATCAATTCTATGATTCACCTCATCTTTCATAGACCCATCCGCTGACACGTCCACTCCCAAATATCTGAATACGTTCACCTCCTCCATACTCTCTCCCTCCCAATCTGATATTCAATCTTTCATCACCTAATCTTTTTGTTATCCTCATAACCTTACTCTTTCCTGTATTCACCTTTAATTTTCTTCTTTTGCACACCCTACCAAATCACCCCCCCCCCCCCCCCCCAAATCTCTGCAACTTCTCTTCAGAATCTCCCAAGAGCACAGTGTCATCAGCAAAGAGCAGCTGTGACAACTCCCACTTTGTGTGTGATTCTTTATTTTTTAACCCCAAACGCCTCTTCCCAAAGACCCTCGCATTTACTTCTCTTAAAAACCCCATCTATAAATATATTAAACAACCACGGTGACATCACACATCCTTTCTAAGGCCTACTTTTACTGGGAAAAATTTCCCTCTTTCCTACATACCTTTAACTTGAGCCTCACTATCCTCGTAAAAACTCTTCACTGCTTTCAGTAACCTACCTCCTACACCATACACTTGCAACATCTGCCACTTTTGCCCCCCTATCCACCCTGTCATACGCCTTTTCCAAATCCATAAATGCCACAAAGACCTCTTTAGCCTTATCTAAATACTGTTCACTTATATGTTTCACTGTAAACACCTGGTCCACACACCCCCTCCCTTTTCCTAAAGCCTCCTTGTTCATCTGCTATCCTATTCTCCGTCTTACTCTTAAATTTTCTTTCAATTATAACTCTCCCATACACTTTAAACCAGGTACACTCAACAGACTTATCCCCTATAATTTTTGCACTCTCTTTTATCCCCTTTGCCTTTATACAAAGGAACTATGCATGCTCTCTGCCAATCCCTGGGTACCTTCCCCTCTTCCATACATTTATTAAATAATTGCACCAACCACTCCAAACTATATCCCCCCCTGCTTTTAACATTTCTATCTTTTTTCCCATAAATTTCCCGGCTGCCTTGCCCCTTTCATTTTACCTACTGCCTACGAACTTCCCCCACACTCACAACTGGCTCTTCCTCACTCTACAAGATGTTATTCCTCCTTGCCCTATACACGAAATCACAGCTTCCCTATCTTCATCAACATTTAACAATTCTCAAAATTTCCCTCCATCTTCCCAATACCTCTAACTCTCCATTTAATAACTCTCCTCTCCTATTTTTAACTGACAAATCCATTTGTTCTCTAGGCTTTCTTAACTTGTTAATCTCACTCCAAAACTTTTTCTTATTTTCAACAAAATTTGTTGATAACATCTCACCCACTCTCTCATTTGCTCTCTTTTTACATTGCTTCACCACTCTCTTAACTTCTCTCTTATATATATATGTGTGTGTGTGTGTGTGTGTGTGTGTGTGTTTATTCTGTGTTCTGTGCCCTGTTCCTGTGAGAGAGAGACCGAGTTTTTTTTACCACTAGTATTGTCGGACGCGAGGTAGGTGGCTGAGCAAATGTAGACAGCCTGCACTGTCTGCACAGACAGCCCATGCTGTCTGCCAGCTTAGTTCATATTTTGCGGCACTCAGGTGCTGCCCTCTCTAGGCCTGCCCAGGTCAGTGGGATGCTGGTTCTACTCGCCCTCACTCTGGCAACACATTTCACTCAATCGAGAAGTGTCCACTCCTCTCTCCCTCGTGGGCATGGCCCTTCCGGGCCATGGGCACAAACACAAGCCTATGTACCCACCACAACTTTGCAAATAAAGTAAGAAGCCTCCAAAGACGCATCATTTACTCCCCGCTACTAGAAACACCAAATAATCTCGTAAACAGTGGTGGTGGTTGAGATGGTGGTGGTTGTAGTGGTGTTGGTGGTGGTGGTTGTAGTGGTGGTGGTGGTTGTAGTGGTGGTGGTGGTGGTGGTGGTGGTGATGGTGGTGGTTGTAGTGGTGGTGGGGGTGGTGGTAGTGATGGTGTGGTGGTTGTTGTAGTGGTGGTGGTTGTAGAGGTGGTGCTGGTGGTTTACCTGGAGTTTACCTGGAGAGAGTTCCGGGGGTCAACGCCCCCGCGGCCCGGTCTGTGACCAGGCCTCCTGGTGGATCAGAGCCTGATCAACCAGGCTGTTGCTGCTGGCTGCACGCAAACCAACGTACGAGCCACAGCCCGGCTGATCAGGAACTGACTTTAGGTGCTTGTCCAGTGCCAGCTTGAAGACTGCCAGGAGTCTGTTGGTAATCCCCCTTATGTGTGCTGGGAGGCAGTTGAACAGTCTCGGGCCCCTGACACTTATTGTATGGTCTCTTAACGTGCTAGTGACACCCCTGCTTTTCATTGGGGGGATGGTGCATCGTCTGCCAAGTCTTTTGCTTTCGTAGTGAGTGATTTTCGTGTGCAAATTCCGGTACTAGTCCCTCTGGATTTTCCAGGTGTATATAATCATGTATCTCTCCCCTGCGTTCCAGGGGAAAACAGGTTTAGGAACCTCAGCGCTCCCAGTAATTGAGGGTTTTATCTCCGTTATGCGCGCCGTTTAAAGTTCTCTTTTACATTTTCTAGGTCGGCAATTTCACCTGCCTTGAAAGTTTCTGTTAGTGTGCAGCAATATTCCAGCCTAGATAGAACAAGTGACTGAAGAGTGTCATCATGGGCTTGGCCTCCCCAGTTTTGTAGGTTCTCATTATCCATCCCGTCATTTTTCTAGCAGATGCGATTGATACAATGTTATGGTCCTTGAAGGGGAGATCCTCCGACATGATCACTCCCAGGTCTTTGACGTTGGTGTTTCGCTCTATTTTGTGGCAGAATTTGTTTTTTGGTGGTGGTGTTGGTTGTAGTGGTGGTGGTGGTGGTGGTGTTGGTTTTTAGTGGTGGTGGTGGTGATGTTGGTTGTAGTGGTGGTGGTGGTGTTTGTTGGTTGTAGTTGTGGTGGTGGTGGTTGGTTTTAGGGGTGATGGTGGTGCTAGTGGTGTTGGTGGTGGTGGTAGTGGTGGTGGTGATGGTGGTGGTGGTGGTGGTTGTAGGGGTTTGGGGGTGGTGGTGGTGGTAGTGGTGTGGTGGTGGTAGTGGTGGTGGTGGTTATAGTGGTGGTGGTGGTGGTTTTGGGTGGTTTTATGGTGGGTGGCAGTGGTGGGGGTTTTTTGGGTTTTTAGTGTGGTGGGGGGATTGTAGTGGTGGTGGTGGGGTGGTTGTAGTGGGGGTGGTGTGGTGGTTTTGGTGTAGGGTGGTGGTGGGCAGGTGGGTTTTAGTGGTGGTGTGGGGGTGGGGTAGTGGTTGGGGGGATGGTGGTGGTTGTGGTGTTTAAATTTTTGTTTGGGGGTGGTGGTGGTGGTGGTGGTGGTGGGGCGGTGGTGGTGGCATTGGTTGAAGTGGTGGGGGGGTGTTGGTTGTATTGTGGGGTGGTGTTGGGGTAGTGGTGGTGTGGGGTGGTGTTGGTTGTATTGGGGGGGTGGTGGTGGTGTTTGGGTTTTATTTGGGGGTTGGTGGTGGGGGGGGTGGTGGTGTTTGGTTGTAGTGGTGGTGCTGGTGGTGGTGTTGATTGTATTGGTGGTGGTGGTGGTGTTGGTTGTAGTGGTGGTGCTGGTGGTGGTGGTGGTTATTTTTGTGGTGCTGTGGTGGGGGTGGTGGTGGGTTGTAGTGGTGTTGGTGGTAGTGGTGGTGGTGGTGATGGTGGTGGTGGTGGTGGTTGTAGTGGTGGTGGTGGTGTTTGGTTGTAGTGGTGGTGGTGATGGTTGTGTTGGTAGTAGTGTGGTGGTGGTGGTTGTAGTGGTGGTGGTAGTTGTAGTGGTGGTGGTGGTGGTGGTGGTGGTGGTGGTAGTGGTGGTTGTAGTAGTGGTGGTGGTGATGGTGGCAATGGTGGTGTTGTTGGTGGTGGTGGTTGTTGCAACCCCTGAATGGGTTGCAATATATATAATGTATATTATGATTATGAATATAATGTATATTACCTTTTCATATAATTTTATACTGCTTATATTTGCGATAATAGCTAAATCGTAAATGTATTGCTTTATATTATTATTATTTGACTTAGTTAAATTTTGTTAGGTAGGATGTAACATATGTGCTCAGTTCAAGTCTTGATTGTCTAACTACTGTAATTATCGCTCTTTGCTCGTTTCCCTGCCGGCTTCTTGCTGGGCAGCGACCCACAGAACTATCACGTGATCGAGGGGGGGGGGGTGTCCTCACCTCGCCTGAAGTATTCAGTCTGGTCTAGACTCACTGGGTGATTGGATGTATTCCAAACAAAGTGCCTAAATCTTCCTTATAGGCCCTTGTTGGAAGACCGTCTCTAGCTTTCTTGTAGGTTCTGTGATACTCTGTTCACAGAACATTGTATAGACTTAGTGATTTTCGACGTTGTACTGAGGTTGTGTGTCGCATAGACACTCTGAGCAACTCAGGTCCTGAGCTGTAGCTTCTGACCTAACTTGTACTGGTATCTGTGTATTGTCACAGTCGGGTGATTTTCTTATGCTGAACTTGGATTCGGTAGTATGGGAGTTTTGTGATTTTTGTGGAGGATCTGCAGATGGTCCCTACTTAGTGTCGTTATATTATCTCCTTGTTCCTGATTCTGTGTCACAGTTGCTTGTTATATTGCTATTGGGCTTAGCATTCTTTTTATTGTTCAAGCAGACTGTTCTGATTGCCAGTTGGTCAAGAAGTTAGTTTGTGAGGACTTTGTCAGTCACTTGTTTAAGTCTAGTCGAGTCCTGAGACATAGCGAACTACTTAGAGCACTCACACACATACACACAAACTTGCTTGTACATATTTGTAATATCTTATTAAATGTTAATGTACCAGACGGTACTTAAGAATTATAAATGTGATATGTGCTTTCAGCACAATACTATTGTATACAAGAGAAGTGATTATTATTATTTTGTTGATATTGATTTAATTTAATATGATATGCCTCAAGACTATACTTAATAAATTTATTAAATTTTAATTTCTCTAGTTAGTAGCCTACCAGTTGTAATCCTGAAGCGCTATTGAATCATACTGAATTCTAATGGATAATTGGACAAGGATACTGACTAATTGTTACGAAAACCCAGTAACAGGCTGTTACAAGAAAGCGATTCTAAAAGCTTAGAGATCTCCAGTGAATACTAGAAAGGACTGCCCTTCTAGCATCCAGCCTGTTACTGGGTTTTCGTAACAAGTAGTCAGTATCCTTGTCCAATTATCCATTAGAATTCAGTATGATTCAATAGCGCTTCAGGATTACAACTGGTAGGCTACTAACTAGAGAAATTAAAATTTAATAAATTTATTAAGTATAGTCTTGAGGCATATATTAAATTAAATCAATATCAACAAAATAATAATAATCAGTAAAGACGTCAGAAAAGTTACTCACACATTGAAGTAGTTCATATCTCATATGGTCATCCAAAGATTCATTAATATTAATGTTGGTTGCGTCTGAGTGGTCAAAAGTCACCAAGTCATGTAGTTCTTCATCATAGTCTAAGTTAGAGGTGTCAATTACGCACACCTTACATTCTTCAGTTGTCGTATCAAGTTTGTGTGGAAAAACTAAGTCAAAGTTATTAAGGCAGTTAACCGAATTTCTTCTGTAATATTTCTTAAGGATGTTGATATGATAAAGCTTAGGTTTCCCCTTGACTTCTTTGAGGTAGTCAACTTTCCCACAAATTTTTAATACCTTATACGGACCTTTCCATGCTACCAATAATTTATTTGACTTAATCGACAAAAGTACAAGAACTTCATCCCCTACGTTAAAACTTCTCCTCTGACTTTTGGAGTCAAAATAGGTTTTGTACTGGCCCTTGACAAGCAAAAGTTTTTCGAAACTAGTCAGGGGGCCCTAAAGGTTTATCTAAAGGTCAAGGAGAAACTGGAAAGAAACTGAACCTCAGTTTATCCTCATTGCCCATAATCAGAAGGATGGACATGGCCCTTGGGCCTTTCTACCATAGAGAAGTTCAAAAGGGTGAAACCCCAAAGAGTCACTGGGAACTTCCCTCATGGCAACAAAGCCAGGGAGGAACGATCCCACCCTTTAGGTTTAGGAGCAAAGTTTCCAAAAAATGGATTTGGGAAATCGAATTGGCGCTCAATCCTCCCATTACAGCGGGGAAAAAGGGGTGGTGAAAAAGGGGTTTCACTCCCAGAATTGGTTAGATGTTGCATTAAGCAGATTGAATTTTGTGCCCCCCGGTCGAAAAAATTTTCTCTAGGGTCCCCACTCGGGAGAAGATGGCAAAAGGGCTTCAGCCACCTCTGTAGTATTAGGGTTTTTAAGGGAACGGCTTCGGGGAAACTCGAAGCAAAATCAACTAATTTAATAATATCTATGTCCCCCAGTGAAAGGGGAAAAAAAAAGGAAACATGTCAATAGCTCCCTTTTTTCAAAGGGTACCGTAAAGATTGAATTTTTTGACATGGTACTCCCTGGTCCCTCGGGGGATGACATTTGGGAAACTTCACGTTTACAGAAAGTTATATTAGGACATTTTTGGGCCAAAAATGGGGTCCCAATTTTTATTTAAAGTTTTAGTTTCGAGAAATGTCCCCCACTGGCGGGTCATGAGCCTTTTAAGAACAGTTCTCTGCTTTGACTTGGAACAACTAAAGGGAATATCTGTCTCATCTGAATTTAATTTAAATACTGATTTGTGCAAGATACCTTTTATAATTAAAATTTTATATAAAAGTTTTTCCTTTGGATAATTTTGATTAGTTTAGGGCATTATGGAAATTCTAAAGAAAGGGGCAATTACGTTGTAACTTGACAAAGAGCCCCTTCGATATGTCTAAAGGTTAAGCGGGGGAAAAATAAAAGGGATGGACAGTAGGGGAAGCATGGGCTTTGGTCGAGCCCTATAAAAATTTTTTGGTACGGGGTGATACCCTCCATTTTCTCAATGTGCAATAAAAATTTTTTTAAAAACTTCAGAATTGGGGCCTTTTTACCATTTATTTCTTAGCAACAAGTTTTTTGGACCCATTTAAAAGGGATTTTAGAGTCTGGGGGAAAAAATTTAAAGGGGAAAAACTCCTAGAATAATTTCAAATTTATTTAAGTATTTAAATACTACTTTATCTTCTCTTTGAGTTAATTTAAAAACTTAACACTTTGACAATAAAAATTACCCCATATCCCATTTAGTTCCAAACAAAAAAGTCATTTTGGGAAAGGCCCCCCCCCCCCCCAAAAGGGGGGGGGGGGAAAAAAAAGGGGGTAAAAAGTTTTAAAACAAACCCTTGAATCGGCCGTAAAGTATCTATGGATTACGAACTGCCCAAGAATATAAATTCAAAAGATCTTTCAGATAATGAGAACAAGTGGTCGCTCTAGAGTCCAATTCTAAAAACCATTCAAATACCCCCTAAGAGCCAATAACGATCTTTGTCAGGGCTAGAGCGGAGAGACGACTACTTGCCAGTCGTTGACGTGTCGTCGGGTTTGGTCAGTTTGACCCGCCAGCCCCGGGCATAAACCTGAACAATTCACTGGATGGTTCCGAACAAAAACTCTATTCCCAAAGATACCCCTAACAAAAATAAAAAAATAATAGTGATAATTAAAAAAATAGTGATAAAAAAATAATACGTAAACGTGGTGATAATAACGAAATAGTGAAAATCCCTGGTATTTTTCATATATTACAGAAATAATATAAGCCGAAAATCTTTTTTTAGCTATAAACGGGGCTTGCCTATATATTAAGTGATAACTTCCCCTTTACAATATTTAAATAAACAGGAGACCAATTTCGAAATAAACCCCCCCCCCCTACGCAATAGGTCCGTAGGGGTTTCCCAGTGTCCTTGGAAATATCCCTTTTATAGAAGCGTCCTTTTTGGTAAATAAGGAAAGTGTAGAGGGAAGAATGGAAAGCAAGAACCCAAACAGCATGGTATTTCCCAAGGGAGAGTTTTGGAAAAACAATGGCCAGAAGAACTTCTGGAGTGGTTCCATCACAATTCAAGAATGGGAGTCTCGGACATGACTGTCGGGGGCATCCAGTGTATTTAAAATTCGTCCCACAACGAAACGGCTTTCATATCATACTGTCAATTAAAAGAAAATTATTAATAAAAAAAATAAATAAATATAAAAAATTTGGCTCTGAGAGTACTATTATTTTTTATTTTTTAATATACTTTTTTTTTTTTTCAGGGCAGAAAGGGTACACAATTATTTTAAGGGATCCACTTAAGTGTTTGAATACAAAATCAGATAAGGTTGGATCCTCAGAGCCCACCTGAGGATTCGGGTTTTTTGTTTCATAGTTTTAATAAAATTAAAAAGGCTGTATCAAAAATTCCATAATTTTAGGGGGGGGGTTCCCAGAAAATGTAAAAATTTTCCCAAAGAATTCTAGGGCAAGATTTCTTTCTTCATGGGAAATTTTTTTTGTACGTTTAATTTTGAAAAAAAAATAAGATATAGATCAAAATATCATAGAGGGGTTTCGAAGTAACACCCCCCCACAGCAAACCGTGGCATCGGTGAAAAAGAAGGGGTTGATTAAAGTCGGACTTTTCAAACGGGGGGTGAAAAAGCAACCGCTTCAACCGTTTAAAGCTATCTCCAATCTTTGTCCCAAAACTTCATCTTATACTGGTTAACTCAGTAAGAGGAATGCACTGAAAAAAAATTAGGACAAAAACTCGTAATAACCAGCTTTCCAAAGGGAACCCTTGTATAGACTTTTTTTCTTGGGGGATAGGAAACCGGCAATGGCCCTAATTTTACATCAACGGGACTACCTACCCTGACCTATACCCCCCCGGGGTTTTAATTTTGGTTTGTCCAAAGACATTGGCAAAAATTTTATGG